CGGCCTGGAGGTGAACCTGGACGGCCCCCTGCCCGAGCTGGACATCGAGGTCCTGCGAGCCCGGTCGAAGAGCCTGCTCGCGCAAGCCGCTGAGGACGGGAGGCTGGAGTCCGTCCTACAGACGCTGCTGCCGCAGGACCAGGGGGGCGCAGGCGAGGTGGCTGCCATCGAGTCGCGAGAGCGGGCCAAGACTGCTCTCATGGAGGCGTTAGTGGAAGGTCGTCTGGCTTCCGCCATTGAGAACGCCATCGCAGGTGACGACGCGAGCCAGCGGGACGACAGCATCGACGCGGTGAAGGAGCGGGCCAGGGTGGCCTTCTTGGACGCCCTTAGCAACAAGGATCTGGATAACATTCTCCAAGGCATACGCGGGCCTGACTCCAGGACGCAGGAGAGCCTCCCTCAGTGAGGGAGCGCGCGCTTGGCACTTCCTGACAAGCCATGGCATGCCATGCGCTGCTAGAGACACAGGTAACGCTACGGAGAGGCGGGGGGGCTCGGCGTCGGTGACCATGAACGTGGTCGACGCCGCTTGAGGCTGGGCACGGCGCGGCAGTAGGGCATCCTCTGTTTGAGGTGCGGCCAGCCGCCCCACCCCACTGCCGAGCCTGCTCGGTGCAGAAGCGCGGGGCTCGTCTCGGCGGCGAGCGATGGGGGGGAAGGCGAGAAGGAGAAGGCCTCCCCTCAGAAGGCGGCGGAACCTCTGAGAAGCCCCCCCCGCGCCCTCCGAGAGGTCCGTCTGCGCCTCCGGGGCAGGCCCGGAGATACGGCTCCTCAGAAGGCCGGGGGACGCCCGAGCCTTCGGAGCTATAAGGCCCGCCCCATCCGCACGTCCCCCCCCCGTTTGGCGCGCCGCCGATCGCGGCCGCTCGGCCCGCGCAGGCTGCGCGCGCGCGCGCCGCACTCGCGCTGCAGACCGCCGCTGGCCAGGCCCCCCGCCTCCCCTTTCCCGCGCCCCCCCCGCCCCCCACGCGTGGGGGGCCGCCCCCTGCGCCGCACGGGGGGCCTCTGGGGGCAGGGGGGCCTCAGCACCGTCTGCCCGATACTCCCCCCTCCACGCGGGGCCACGGCACCACGAAGGATTGCAAAACGAAGGATTGGAAAAAAACCCTTCGGTTTTTGTTGCAGTCCTTCGGTTTTTTTTGCAATCCTTCGTTTTTTTGCAATCCTTCGCTAAAAGAAGGACAGGCGCCACGAGCATGAACTTTTGGCGCTCCGCGCGGTTTTCTTGGGTCCGCGCGGGGCCCCCCCGCCCGGCGGCGCCTCTGGCGCCGCCCCTGGCGCGCGGAGCGCGCCAGGGAGGGGAGTCCAGCGCAGATCCAAGAAACCCGTGCGAAGCGCCAACAGATGTTTGGTTATGCTGTTTTGTCTTCTTCGAATCTCGCCCCCACCAGCCCCACCCCCCCCCACGGTGGGGATGGGGCCCGCGAAGCCCGAGGGGAGCAGCATACGTCCCGACCTAGAGGGGGATCCAGGGGCCCGCGGTGCCAAGGGCCACGCCGGTGATGATGGGGCTCGGGCGAGCGATGCTCCAGGTCGGGAGTCGAGGCGGCCCGAGCCCGAGCACGTGGGCCAGACCCAACCGAAGGTCCCAGCCCACTCCCCAGGACCGGCTCCTCATCCCGAGGCGTCTTGCTGACGCTCCCAGGGGCCCGGCGAAGGCTCCTGGAGGCCGAAGGGTCTGGACAGAACCTGCCGCCGCGACCTTCGTCGTGACTCGACAGGGGACCGGGCCGCCGCACCGCGCGCCGATGTGCGCACGCCGCGCCCAAGAGGTCGCCCCCGCCCACGGGGGCCACCTGGCGGAGCGTGCCGGCGGCGCCCGTGGCCTCCCCGAAGAAGCCTCGGCTCGGCTGCGCGCAAGGACTGCGTCGGACGTGTCCCCTGCTGGAGGCAGATTCCAAGATAGTACAACGAATCTTCTGGGGACGATTGCCCTATGATTTGTGAGTGCTGTCGAGCACGTGCCACCCTCATCCAACATGCACCCGTAGGGGGGCATGCCCGGCCTGACGCAGGGAGGGCGCTGAGGGGCGGAAGGGGGGGGGGGGACGGCCTCCTCGGAGTGCAGCGGGGGGCGTCGTGGGAGGGAGCCCGCCCACGGAGGGCCCGCGCCGGGAAGGCAGTGGCCCCAGACCCCCCTCGAGCCATGGCAGAAATCACGACTGCAGGTGTTCCCTGTTGTCGGCCTCTGGGGTCCCCATCCCGGGCCTCGGGAGCGTCAAGGAACGGCTCAGGGTGCAAAGCCAGTCATAGGGAATGGGTCCAGCCAGGGGTCGACGTCCTGAAAGAATCATGACGTCGGGGGGCTGAGGAGGCGTTCTGGGCCTCCCAGGAAATCCTGGTGACGGCTTGGGCTGGGGACACCCCAGCAACACCTGATCCGGCGCGCCGCCAACCTCTGCCTCTCCTCCCTTTCTGGCGCTGATCCAGATGTTTGTTGCGCCCCCCTCTTCGGGCGGCTGGTCATAAGATCCTCTGCCGGTCATCAGATACTCTTGCCCCGCGCACGCGCATCACAAAAAAACAGCCCAGGCTGATTACTTGGCATAGTTTCTTTCGAACTTCGAACTCACATCATCCTGACCCCCAGCGCGCGAGTAATTGAGGCCAACAACTTCGCTTCCTGCACCGTTTCCAGCGAATCTGGCGAGTCTGATGGAATCCCCTGGAATCCCCCGCAAAACCGCAGACAGGCGCCCTCGCTCGAGACATCCTTCGGGGCCTAAGAGACGGGGGTCAGTGCAAACGGGGGTCAGCCAGGGCTCCGGATCCTGCAGGATCCTGCGACGACCCCCTCTGGCTGACCCGGGTTAGCGAGCCGCTTGTGGCCGCGAGGCGGCTGCGCATATTGGCTGACCCGGGTTTGCGAAGACCTGCGTTGCAGTGTCTTTTTTTTGTTCCTGCATTGCAGTTGTTTGGTTTCCTGCTGACCCGGGTCTGGATTGACCCGGGTCAGAAGATCCCCGCCTCGCAAAATCGGCCCCAGGTGAGGGGCCAAGAATATGGCCGTTTCCGGCGAGTCTGGCGTGTCAGACGGGATCCGACGAGATCCAGCGCAGAACAACATTTCCTCAAGATCGCCCCGCAGGGAGGGGCCAAAAGTGCTTCGTGGAACGTTTCTGGCGAATCCAGCGAGTCAGACGGATTCCGTTGCAGAATCCCAAATTGGCACCCTCGCTCGGGAAGCCCTCACAAAATTTGCCCCAGCGCTTTCCTCATCTCTCGCTCTCTCTCTCTCTCTTTCTTTTTTGTTTGTTGTTCTCTCTCCCTCTCTCTCACTATATATATATATGTATACATACATTTGTATACATATATGGACCCCCCGATCAACTGCAGAGCGGCAAGCTAGTACAAATGCCCACTTTCTGGTGGGACAGTCACTTCAGGAGGCTGTTGAGGCCCCTTGGAACGAGGAAGAGGGGGGCAGCGGTTGTTGATCCTTCACCGCATTCTCGTCATCGTCCTCTTCTTATTATTCTTCTTATTCTTCTTCTCATTCCTCCTCATCTCCCATCCATCACCAGTCCTGGGACTTCCACGCCGCGAATCAACGCTACTGTGGCCACCTGACGATCCGAAATCGTGGCAAAACACCGTTGCTGGGACGCCAACACCGCGATTCAACGTGACTGTCGCGCCCTGACCCTCCTAAATCGTGCCAAACACAACTCCTGGGAGATCAGCCAAACATATCCTTGAAACTGGCGTAAGCTGTTCAAACGAATGCGCGTGTATCTGAATCGATAACCACACTTTGACAAGGAACCGCCCTCCATCCGTCAAGCTCTTCCAATTGTTTACGACGAATGTGCGCGGCGCTACTGCGAGAACCACATCATAAAAATGGCCCGCCCTCCATCCGTGAAGCTCCTGCAACCTTTTACGACGAATGTCCGCGGCGCTACAGCGAGAACCACATCATGAAAACGGCCCGCCTTCCATCCGCGAACCGCTGGCTAGCTTTTACGGCGAATGTGCGCGGCGCGACTGGACGAGCCACAGTTTAGAACAAACCAAAGAAAAACCGGCCCTCCATCTGTGAAGCTGTTGCACCTTCTCAGCTTCAGGATCATAAGCGGTGAGACAATATGATGCGAAACGCCCGGGCTGCCCTACCGACACGTCCCGGGGTGCGACAGAGAGGAGTTACTGGCACGGTGGAGGAGTTTCAGACGGCTCTCTTCCATCGGGGCTCTTCCAGCAGTGGAGAAGTCAGTACAGGGGCCTGTAAAGAGGGAATCTGGAGGGAGGGTTCACTGCAGCATCGTCGATGGATATCGGGTGTGCCATGATCTTCCTCCTCTGGTCCGCATCCTGCTCCTCCTCCTGCTCGTCACGCGCCTGCCCGTCTCGTGGCATCCGGGGACGGGGTCCCGATGGGCCGGGTCTTGGAACCCGCGGGCTTCCCCGGGACCACCTTTTCGTCCTGAGCCGTTGCCTGACAGCCCGGGGGCCCACTTCAGGGGCAGCGTTAATCTCACCACCCACCAAACCACCCCAACCCAACCCGAAGGCTCAGATTTACCCTCGATTTCCAGTGGGGGGGGGGCTCGGGAAACATCGAAAAAACACATGTGGAACCCTTACCCCCCCCCAACCCGAAATTCGGGTCTTCGGGTTGGGTTGGGGTGGTCTGGCAGGTAGTCATAATCGGGTGGGCACAGGCTCCGAGGGGACGCATCGATGCCCCATAGCCCACTCATCACAGCCAGGGGGCCCGACAGCCTGCCCCGCCCAGGACCGTGGGGGACTTGCTCTCGGGGGCCTATCTCAGGAGCGAAAGAAGGACGTACATGTTCTTGAATCCACGCTGGTTTCGAGAGCACGCGTTGCACAAATGTTCGTATCACGCGGCCGGTCACGCGAATCGAGGGGCCGTGTTCATGTACATAGCTGGGCGCGTACGTCCTTTGTGGGCTCCCTACTATCGCCGATCCATCGGCGATGTATCGCCGATTCCAGCTCGATGTTTCCCCCTCGGAGCTGTTTCCCCCCCCCACTCCGAACGTTCCCCCTCACCATGGAAGGGCCCTGGGAGCCCAAAAACAATGGAAAGTGGAAAGCCTACAGGGCACATCCTATCCGTGGCGACCCCTGCCGATCCCATCCGTAGGCACGCCAACGGCGATGTCAGAAACGGCGATGTAGGTCTCGGTATTCCAGGTGGGGCTGGTTCGCGGCCAACCCGATTGCAGGAAAGGCTTGTTCGCGTTCTCCTACAGCTTGTTCTGCGCGAGCTCGGCGCCGCAGAAGCCAGATTCCCAACATCGCCGTCAACCCAGACCCCCGACCCCGAGAGGTCTGGGCACCTTCCCCTACACCTTAGGCGATGCTTAAGAAAACTTCAGTGTTCGGCCAGAGTCTCGATTATTCTTAACGTTTCCCTGTAAATCCTAAGATTTTGATAGACATGCTGGGTTTTTTATTCAAGTTCTGAGACTATGAATTTCTTAACCTATGATTTCTTAAGCATTTCGCAGGGTGTAGACCAGTTTTTCATCAAGGGTCGTTTTTGGACGGTCCCGAGGCCCGGCAGGGGTCCCCAGCAGGATCCGAAGATAGCGCAAAACTTCCTGTCGTGACGTTTTGGCGACGCCGAGGGGTCTGGGTCCCGTTCCGCTTCGCAGGTGAGCCTGGGCCGGAACCTCCACCGTGATTTTTTCACAGCGCGAGGGGGTCTGTTGGCGG